AGTAAGATATATTATCCACGCGTGAGGAAATTCACTCGAGAGTAATAGAAATTTTAAGTATGAACGACACAATACATTTGGATGATAAGATACTGAATAATTCAGATGATCAGCAAAAATGCCATCGAAGTGTATTGGAATATATTTATGGGACTGAATATAATGATGATGTGATGAAACAGTTTGAAAACTATTTAGCAGAACCACAATTAAGGTTCACATTGGATCCCAAAGAATGGTGGAAAATTAGGTTTTCTAAATATCCTGTAATTAGCAACCTTGCAATAAAATATTTAACAATTCCTGCAACTTCAGTTAGTTTAGAAAGATGTTTTTCGATGGCCGGCAACAACGTTACTCGTAAAAGAGCTTCTTTATCACCTAAAAATGTAAATATGCTTGTTTTTTATACCAGAAAAAACATTTATTGAGTAAAAAAAGTTAACTATTTAATTTTTATTTAAAAGTTATTCGTATAATTGATTGTTTTTGATTTGTGATATAATTAATTATTTTATTAAAAATGTACCTACTTATTAATTTTTTGGTTTTATGTTAAGTTTAAAATTATATTGTTTTTTTCATTATCTATTTATTCAAAATAACTCTTCCTTTTTGCTTTTACTGAGTAATTAAATGAGTGGCCTAATAATTATACCCAATTTGTACTATATATTATTTATTTATTTATATATATTAGTTACAATTATGTTATATTATTTACATTAATTCTTGTTTTTCCATTTATTATTTAGTAAAGTACTCTCATTTTATATAATTCAGAACAGTAAATAGTTTTTTGTTTAACTATACTAATACATGGTGGCGTATCCAGGATTCTTTTAAAGGGGGTATTTTAAAATTTAATAGACTTATGGTAAGTGCGAGGCTCTGCCCCCCTCCTATATTACATAAATAAATACCATGTATTTAGATAAATTATTATATTAAGATAGTGTATGTATAATCGACAAGTAGTTACAGCGTTTATTTAAATTATACTATAAGTTTGCAATTTAATGAAATACTATAGAGTATGGTCGATGGGGGGTGTTCTAACACCCATATCACCCCCTCCCCCACCTAAATACGCCTCTGCTAATATATTATTTACTCCTATAATATTCTTGATTGCATTTTCCAGAATACGTGATGGCTAAAGTTTAGTTACTACGGTTTACAAACGATTTAACGCGCGCTCCTTTTAAAAATGATAAAAACCTCTTGAAAATGTTAGTTTTATTTTTAATATTTCGTGTATTTAAACTATAAAAACTCCAACACAAGTATAATTGTGAAAATATTAAATACCTTAACTTAAACTGAAATTTATAATAAAAATGTATTTATTTTTTAAATACACGTGTATATTAATTACACGTGTCACGTGTACACGTGTATTTAAATTACACGTCTAAAATCACAAGCACTAGTTGAAACCCGTACGTCCATATGGCTTTAAAAGCGTTTTATTTATTAATAATTTTTTATTTAGGGCAGTGAATTAAATTTTTGATATTAGTATTTTTAAAGACCGATCTCGTGCATTGAGATTTAGTCGTCTTTTTTTAATATGTTTTTGCCAGATCAGTTCTTTATCGGTCTAGTTTATAAGGTTAGTTTAGGTTAGTTTAGGTTAGTTAGGATAATTTATAAGTATTTTATGGTATCGAAAGAAGGGATTGGTAAATTATTAACGGTAATATTAGAGCTGAGTCCATGGTTTAGGGTGAATGTTGTGTGTACTGATTTGTTATGATTTAGCATAATTCACCATTTTGTCATATATTTTTTTACCATACAGAAAGTAAGTTTAGATGGATTTGTAAATTTTTTGAGACAGTAATCGAATCATTGTTTATTGATAAAACAATTATTTAATCTGCGTGGTCAGATACTTGAGTATTTTTAGTAGAAGGTTGATCAGACGCATAAATATAAAATAATATGGATGATATAATACATACCCCTCGGGGAACTCCACCATAGATTGCAGATTTATTTGTTGTTTTATCGCCATGGAGTACTTCGAAGTATTGGTCTGAAAGATATGATGTAATTAATATATATAATGCAAAAGAAAGAAATTTGCGGAGTTTAAAAAAAGACGTTCATGCCAGACTCTATGTATAAAGGATTAAAAAGAAAAAAGTCATCATTCGAAGAGGAGACAATTTTAATGAGGGAAAGTGAATACCTATAGTTTATTTATTTGTATTGGATCAAGGTGGATGTATATACATCCACCTTGTATTGGACTATAATGATAATGCGCATGGAGATTCGACAAATTTATGCCGTATAGATATTGTAAGTGAATATCCATCCGTCGTGCAGACATATTCTAGATATTTGATTAAATTTTCATTCTCGAGATAGAGTTTTTTTTTTAAATCATGTTCTTCAAACTTTATACGTACAACGTATTCGCGAACGAAGGTATTTTCTATTATTGGTGCATATTGTGAACATGCAACAATGGAAACTTATAGGAAAAGCAAGATCATTTAATACATAATTTAATAATAATAATAAACTTTAATCCAATACGAGATATTATTATTATTATTATTATTATATCCCTCTTCCGGCAAACATTTTAATTCGCAACGCTGGAGAAAGCTTCAAAAAGTGCTTAGGCGATGATATATCATAATATGTCATATTATGACATACTCGTATGTAAGTATACATGATTTTCAAACAACAATAGCGAACAAAGCAGTAAAGCGCCGATAATTACAATACGAGTACAAAATATTACACATTATTGCATATAGTTAACATTTACATAGAGACTAGGCGTTTGATATTTCAGAGTGGGGAGTAGATCATATTTTTTTTATAAACGTTTTAGTGTAGCATTTTAAATTTTATTATTTTTTGCTGAAACGCAAAGAGAAATATGGTTAAGAAGATTGTACATCTATTTTGAGTTTAAAACTGAAAAATTTATTTAAATTATTCTGTTACAAGATTAATAGCGTTGTGATAAATTAACTTTACGTCAAACAATAAACACGAGTAAGTATGCAGGTAATGAAAATATATTTCAGTAACTATTTTCCTTCGTTTGGCTTCGGGGGACTAATTTATGTATCTTTTGTTTAGTAAACTCTTCATTGTGATTCTTAAAATATTTTTAGACACCCAAAACCACTCGGATATTTTTATTTCACTTAAATTTTACTAAAAATTAGTATAATTATTTATTTTCATGAACAACATTTTATCAATTTCCCGAAGTCTATTTTACAACAATTTTGTTTCCAATAGCTTCGCAGGTAACATAAATCTGAAACATTAATCATTAAAGCATTTATCATTGATATCATATCCAAGGCTGGGCAAGTGAATGCTATTTTTATATTTTTTAACTCAGTTTAGTTAAGTTAATTGAGTTCATGTCCAATTAAGTTAACCATGAAGTTAATTTACATAGAAGTTACATAAATAAAATTAAAATTTTAGTTAAAAAATATCGTTAACTTAACTTCAATTAATACCTAAGTTAAGTTAATTGAAAAAAAATACATTTAGTGCTGATATAAGTGATATATATATATATATATTAAAAATTTACAGCAGATCTTAATTAACATTAATGATAATGAAAAATCAGAAAAATCTTATTTAAGAATATTTTTTATTAAACTTTCTATTAAAATTAGAAAAATATACCTTTTATTTTGGGATTATTTTTAAGTACTCAAATATCAAATTTACGGTTATTTATGTATGGTTTATTTTTTATAAATCATACAAATCACAAATAATAAATATAATTTAAAAAAATATTATTTTTAATGTTTAATAACAGTATAAAAACTAAAAATAATTACTGCAGTTGAAAGTATAACTATAATATTATACAGACAATAAATGTATACAGTAGATACAAAATATTAAAATAAATATACAATATTATTTAACTTTATTAAAATCAAAACAAATAAAACAATGCAATGGACAGGTTAATTAAAATACCTATTGAATCTCAATAAAAGAGTCATCTCAAAATTTTGTTCAGCTTTTAAATTTCTTCTCATATCCAATAATATTTCATAATATCAATCTTGTTTAATAGTACCATCGATTAAGGGATGATTTTATTAATAATTGTTTTCTATAATCAATGATAATGTGTAACTATTTACAGAGGTGAAATTAGGAATTTTAATGCCCGGGGAAAATATTAAAATTACGCATTTTCATAAACCAATAATCAAATATACTTCTCGAGAATTTTTTTCTAATTATTAATATACAATCATACTAGTTGAGTTTTAACCTAATATCAGTATTCAACAAAGTTAAAAATATCAAATTAGTTGTTAATAATTACAAAAATTACACACTCTAAGATTGTTCGCCCTGGGGTGAATCTCCGGCTTCCACCCCTTAGTTCCGCCATTGCCTATTTATTTAATATACATTTATGGCCACTTTGACAATGGTAATGTAATTTATGGGTGGTATGGCTATTTTTACTCAATAGTTTTAAGACGGTTGACTACTTTTTCCGAGACCGATGGAATCGTTATTATTAGTTCTATATTAATTTATATACTATTATTCGTTTTTATTTAGTTTCAAAATTTAATTTCAAATTATGTATTTTTTTATCACATTGTCCATTAACAATATTCATCATGCAACTGGTTTTAAACGTTACCAGACAAATATATCGCAACTAAATTATCACCAAACGAATTCGAGATCATTCGACATTGTTCATGATTTGAGTAGAATATCAAAACGTTAAAAAGAAAAAAAATAGGATCCACAACGAGGTAAACGAAGCTACACTATAATATCGTAAAATGAATCCTAACGATTTTGCTCTTCTGCCGCGCGAAGCTATTACATCTGACATGAGATTGAATGCCCCACCGTAAGTAAGACGCGTATTATTTTTTTTTAGTTCCGATCGTCGTTGCGCTACCGAACGTCATTGCGGTTCTGATGTGACTTCGGATACGGAAGAACCATGGCACTTACCGGTGTTTTGTATCATCTGCGGGTGGCCAAAGATTTGGACCACGATGACAGAGGACGACTATGGTGAGATTACGGTTAAATTTTTGGATTCGCGTGAGGTGCCGAAGATGGTCGATCTGCTTATGTTTTCACACGTGCCTCACGCTTTTCTCGATTTAGCTCGCCGTGGTTTTGTGTATCAAAAATGCCTTTCCGGAGCACTACGATGGGGATCCTGTGTTGATCCTCTTCACTGCCCTCCGGCTACTGTCCACTGCCCTCCGACACTGGCATGCTGACGGATGAAATGTCCGCTACCGTCACCGTCACTACCGGAGATTCAGTCAACCGCATTCAAGTGGCCACACGTGACGTCGTATTTTGAGGTATCGTACGTGGACGGATGCACCAAGGCGAGCCCGGCCACTAGCGATGTCGCGTCCGGCGACGAGACCGTTTACGTGGACGGATCCGCTCAGGCCGACGTGGTTATGTGCCACGTCGCGTCAGCCGTCGACGTCGGGTACGTAAACGGTATCGCACGTACGTATAACATAGTGGTACAAAAAAGGACAATGAGGATGGCCGATGAAATGGCGCAAATGGTCGACGTAGATAAAGCCGTGAGAGTGCCTGCAGCCCAGCCACCGACGGCCCCTGGTACCTATGGCCCTCTTGTACCTCTTGGCACGGAACTTAGCCCGTCAAAATCTGAAATTCAGGTGAGAATGATTATAGTACCGATTATACTACATATAATATATATATAGTATTATATTATATTATTTTATATTGTTATTATTATAGACGATTATGGATTATTTATAATGATTGTAGTACCGACCGATTTAGAGCAGATATCTAGTAGTTAGTTAATTCCCACGATAAATTTGCAACGCGATAAGAGAAAAAAAAAATTATTGAGTATCTAGAAAAACTTATAAAATGACGGTAAAAAATTATGTGGAGGAGGTTATCTTATCGATATATACGGGCATTTTTCGTTGATTAGTGGCTCATAATATCAATGAACGACTATATGTGTTCCATATTTCCGGGATGTCTTGTTTGATATTATAAGTGTCGAATTCTATTATTCCCTTTCGTCGATTATATTGTATATGATCGATTGCAGTTTCCTTTTTACGACCGACCCGAGTGAAGAAACCACCACCACCACCACTACCATCACCAACCCTGTTTAATGAGTCATCTTATTGAGTATTTATAAGAATAATGGTTGAAGTATAATGTAAAGTAGCGAACATATAAAAAAAAAAAAAATTAAAACATTTAAAATCGTACTACCAACGCACGTGTAAAAGATCGATCGAAAGCATATGCACGATCGTTCACTCACGTCCATAGATATTAAACCGATTGAAATGTTATTCTCTCAGGAGTCGACGTTAAACCGATCCCATAAATATTGGAAACTGCGGTTATCACTATTTTCAAAGTTTGACGAGGGAATTATGCTCGACGTGGGTAAATTATAACATAAAATAGGTACGCGAATATATTTTCTAACGATGTGAATTTTTTTCCAATTACGCAGCCAGTATGTACTCCGTTTGCCCAGAGGTACTGACACAACATATTTTCAAAAGTTGTACTTTGTTCGGCATGGTCTTAGACCCGTTTTGTGGTGCCGGGGGGAACGTAATACAGCTGGCGTTGACTTGTGATCACGGTAAACTTGTTTATACTACAATCGATAAGTATTATAATTCAATGCAAAAATACAATACGCTCGTATTTTTTTTTTTTTTTATTAGTTATTGCCATCACTTGGATCCAAAGAAAATTGCTTTGGCCAAGAAAAACGCGGAGGTTTACGGAATGGCCCACCGAATAGATTTTAGGGTGGGAAATTCTTGGTGGCTGCTAACCTCAGGATGGACGCCGTTGTCATCTCGCCGCCATGGGCAGTCCTAGGTACGAAAGGCAAGCAAATTTTGACGCCAGAGACCTTTGTGGACGTGAAACTGGTGACATAGCCACTATTATTCGGATGGCACGTACAGTTGTGCCCAGGGTGGTTCTGCACGTACCGAAAAATATAGATAAAGCCCAATTACGCGTTACGCAATATCGTAACATATTAATAATAATATAATAACGTGTTACGTGTACAATACTTAATATCGATCCCCGGAATAGCGAAAATGTCATATTTTGGTTAAAAAAATTACTAGTTTTACGAGATTTTTAAATACCTACTGTAAATGATAAGTGATAATATAGAAACTTGTTGCTTTACATTAAAATAAATAAATAAATTAAATTTAATAATACATTTTATTTTCGTTCCACTTTTCCGTGCACCGCAGTGTTTGCAGATGGCAATGGACGAGGGATTCGGTTGAATACAGTACGAAAGCGTATGAAATTAATAATGTAATATAATATAATACGAAAAAAGCTTACTGAATTTCTAGGACCAGATTTATTGCTAGAGGAGATTATAATGCTAAGCACACTTTCTAGGAATCGAGATTGATCACCACTAAGTGGTTCAAATCTACTAATAAAATGAACGCACAATTTTTCTCAACTAGAAAACCTACTTACTGGCTTACTAACCGAAAAAAATTACCTGATCTTATTGATTTCTATGTAATGAAAGAAGTTTCATAAAATTATACAGAAGTAGGAGGTCTAATAGAACTAACGTTAGATCACATACCCGCGCTTCTTTCATTAAGCTTCAATGTAATAGTAAAACAAAAAAAAAAAAAAATTCCGCAACAAATAAAAGATCAAATTGGGATTTATTCAGAAGTATTCTCGAAAAAACGATAGCTCTTTCCAATGGAATAAAAACAATTTACGACATTGGAACTACGATAGAAAAATTAAACAACGATATTATTAATGCGGTGGAAATAGAATTCCGATGGTTGGAAATGGTAGTCGCCAGATTACCTATTCACTAGAAATAAGAAATCAAGTTCAAAAAAAATGTCGAGCAAGAAGAGCATGGTATAGTATTCGTTACTCAACGGATAAAATCGAATTTAACCGTGTATGCATAATGCTTCATGATAAAATCAAAGAAATGAAAAATGAAACGTTAAAATCATACTTAAGTGATCTCTCTGCAACAGATAAAACCGGTTATTCGTAATGGAATGTCACAAGACACATAAAGAGACCTCATGCTCAGATATCATCCATCCGTAAGGAAGATGGTACCTGGGTTCACAGCCAGGGCCGGCATAGGGAGGAGCAAAACGGTGCATTTGTCCAGGACCTCGCGCAAAACGTGAAACGCGTGGATCACCTAGCGAGTACGATTTCTTGAGAAATCCGATGGCATATAAAACATATTAATAAAACAATGTTGTAATATATTTAATATGTCATGAATGCACCAACCTTGGATACCTATAAAGTTTATCTTATCACATTTCTTAAATGTAATTAGTCATTACCCGTTATGTCGTGCAGTTGTCACCAAGTCTGATAATATATTATCGTATTTCATTACGACCTACAGGTGACTATGGTCATTGGTAAAATAAGTTTTGCTCATGGCTTTGCAAAATGTAGCCTCGGCCCTGCTCGCAGCCAGAGTTGGGCAAAAACAAATCAAAATAAAGAATAAAAAATAGAAGCATGAATAACTAACTTATCTATGAATATGTATGGTGTACTGAATAAAGAATAAAATTATTCTGAATAGTTTTATTCGTGAATAAAACAATTATTCAGAATAAATTTATTCGTTAAAATCATGAATGATATTAATTAAATAATGATATTAAATATAAAAGTATATTTAATTTATTTTTGTCAATTATTATATGTATTAATATGTATTACCTTCATATATATTATTTAAGTCTAAATAATAAGTCTATTATTATTATACATCGTTATTTAGGATTTAAATTTATTATTTATATGTTTATAGGGAATAACGAATAACTGAATAATGAATAAAAATAAAAATAAAAATCAATAATAAAATTAAGAATAAATCAAAAAAGAATTATTTTTTATTCAAATAATCAATCGAACAATATTTTATTCGACTAATGTCCAACTCTGTTCGCAGGGAACAAGAAAAAGCCGAAGTGTAACTAGACACCTCGAACGTGTATTCTTACCAACCATACATTGTGAGCTTGATAATATGCAATGCCAACAGCTCAATGTATCATGTGATAAAATTAATCATTTTACCGAGACTGGTGGATCCCTTATTATTAGTTAATATCGTGATAATTATTATGCTCTTACCTAAATATTCTTCGAAATATTTATTTTTATATTTTTCTGAATTCTATAAACTTGTTATCGAATATGGTATTTTACAAGAACATTTTGATGGCTTTGAATATCAAAATTAACTTAATTGGGATAAATAAAAAAATAATATGTTAATTCCAAGCTAATCTATAAGGAAATGAGTTAAGTTAATTTATCAGTAATGAAATAAGTTAAGTTAAAAAGTTAAATTAACTTACCTTATAACTTAAATTTGAACTTATTAACTCGTTAATGCTCAGGCTTGCTAATATCTATACGTTTTTGTTAGGTTTAGTTTAAGATTAACTTTATTTAAAAGTGTAATCGTTTTAATTAATATTAAAGTGTAGAAGACCTCGTAAATAGTATTCACGAATAAAGGTTTTTTTTTTTAATGAGTTAAATAAAAATATGGCATAATATTATACTTATACATATTAACAATGTAAGTTGTAATATAGTCTTAATTTAAATTATTAAGTAACAAAATAAAGTTAATATAGTTAGTATTGTTATGAAATTAAGAATAAAAATCTTGATTTTTTTTCTCAAGTTAAATAATTTTAGTTAATTCGGTTAGAATGAAACAATAAATAATAATTATTGTAAAAAATAGATTCTTTTAATTTTATTTAGAATCAAATTTGGTCAGAATCAAATTTTCGATTGCCCGGAGAAAGTGTTTCCATTATAAATAATAAATTATAAATAATTCTTGATGAATCATCTTGTAGACCGTGAATCCGCAGAGAAAAGCAAACAGTTTCGAGAAACTTTGAAATTTTATTTTTTTATTACTTAAAAAGTTAAGAATCATCTTTACATTTTGCACAGTAGGCAACACCGTTCTTGTGATTAAAGAATAATGCCCGATGGAATTGAATGGCATTTTATCATGTTAAATTCTAGGTAAATTAAATTAATTTTTGTTCGACATTATAACATCATATTATAGTATAATATTATAATGTCTTTTAATAATTCGAGATTATCTAAATCAAGTGCTTTACAGCACACAAGATTTAAACATAAAAATAAGTTACTTACGCTTAAAACTAATTTTTACCAGTTTGTATCTTTATATCATGATGCGTATATTATGATTGTGTTAGAAACGTTTCGATACATTACCTAATATACGGTTAAAGTTATTGAATTTGTATTAAAATGAATAGATAGAATAAAATAAGAAAATATTATAATTTATAATGTTTTGCAAGTTTTAATCATGAAAACATTTTAACTATGAATAAGAAATAATTTTTTACCTCTGTAAGATTTAATAATTTTTTTTAAAAAAAACTGAAAACTATAACTATTAACTTAAAACTAAAATATTTTGATATTTTAAAACGATATAATTATTAATATATTTATTTATATGTATACAGACTTTGTTTTCTAAGATAAATTAAACATTGGAATGATTTAATTTATATATATATATCTTATACTATTATACTTATATACTTATACTATCTAAACTAGGTATATAGATGTATGAGCATTTGAATGTTTGTAGTTTTATTAAATTTAAATATTTTGTTCGAAAAAAAAAGCATTAATAAAATGTAAGTTAATGAGTTTTTACCGTAAGAAAAAAATAACAGTTTTCAACTTGAACGCGCCCCAATCCTGTCAGAGGTAACTATGAACTCGAACAGTTATCCCTCGGGAGTACTCTCTAATAGTACAGTTACGACCTCTTACGATCCAGGCAGTCGAATCCCACGAGAGAGACTAGTAATTACTTGAGTTTAACAAATAAATCGACATGCCTATTCTAAAACTGTTGTTTTAGAGTTCTGATTTTACAGAAAGAAAAAAATCAGAACCAAATTCTTAAATAAATCAATTACAAATATAATATTGAAAACTTCGATAGTAACAATAATATGTTTTGCTGTGATGAGGAAATATATAACCAAAATTAAACATTTACATTTATGCATACTTCGACGGATGTAATACCTATAATTAATAGGTTTAATATGTAATTTGATAAAATAATTGTATACTGTCAGTTGATCACCAACGTTAATATTCAAATTATATTAAGAACTATTAAGATTATTATAGACGGGATACTTTTGTAGCTTATTCTTAAATATGCCAAGTTGTGAGTGAGAAAGAAACAGTTATTAGACCACCTAGTCTTAATTGGGTTAATATCTGAAGTTTAATTTCATCAAGGGAGTCGTCTAATCGTGAAATGTGATTATGTAAATTGTAGGTTTATAAATATGGGGTTTAATAATATAATGATTCGTTCAAATTTAATAACAATAAAAATATAAGTACGGTGTTATTTCTCCGTAATATCATGAGTGCAATGACAATTAAATT